AAAGTACAATTTCCAACCCAATTTACTTCTGCCCATAATCCCCTGACCCCAAGTAGAGCTACTGGGTTAAGACTCCTTCAGAGGTCTTCAGCCAAAGCTGGAAGTGGTGGTGCACACCTGTAATCGTAGCACTCTGGGGGGGCTGAGGAGGGAGAATCTCAAATTCAAGCCCAAACTGGGCAGTGTAGCAACTTAGCAAGACCCTGTCTTAAAAAAAGAAAAAGAGGGCAGGAGATGTGACTCAGTGCAAAGATTCTGGGTTCAATCCCCAGTACCGTACCAAAAAAAGAGTCTGTAGCCAGGAATTCCTACCATCTGTCCTGCCACATACTGCTTCCTGTCACTGGCTACTCCATTGAGTGTCTTTTTTATATGCTGTGAGGCAGGCAGACCCAAGGAGAGCATGGGCCATCCCTGTCCTGGCTAGACCCATGACCCATGTCTCCTAGGGGATCAGTCTCTGCTTACCTGAGCACCCTCACCCTTTGCACACACATGTGCGCGCACACACACACACACACAATGTGCACCACACCTCCTGGAGAACAGACACAAGGCAGTGCCCAGTACTGTGCCTGGAACATTGTAAGATCTACCTGGGATGGGACTTGTTGAGTGTATTAATGAGCAAGATGATTCAGAATAACCAGGCTGTTTCCTTAAAACACAGGGGCAGCTGCATTTATAAAACCCAGAGTTCTCACTGGGTACATGGAAGTGGACAAGCTGATGTAAAAATCTGAAGTCAAATTGATAATGTTTTTCTCTCCTGCTCTTTTCTAAGAATCCCAGCTCAAAGATTTCTCATTGTATTGTTGATTTATTGCCTGACACCAATATTCCTTATTTCCCATTATGTCTGTAGCTTCTATGAACTCAATCTAAAATTTGCTCCCTTACTATAAAAACACTCCCCTGCATAAATAAACAAACAAATAAATAAATAAATATTTTTTAAAGCAGCATTAAGTACTCTGGTGTTCCTGTCCATGATTTTGCAAGTCTTCTGCATCCAGCATTTTGCAAAGTCTGCCTTATAAAAAGTTGTTCCACAGAATATGAATGCTAAAAGGGTTCGCAAGTCAAATAAATTTAGTAAACATTGCTTCAACAAAAGTAAACAAGTTTCTTTAATATAGGGCTTCTCAGCTTTAGTATGCTAGTCTGCATTCCTAGAAGTAGAAATGCCAAGTTTACTTAACCCCAAAGCCCCGTTGGTAGCACTCTGCCTCTTGCAGGGCTGAGGTTCTGTTGAGCATTCTTTGGAGATAGATCTACAGTCTTCTTTCTTATTTTTTCTATCATCCTAGTTCCCTTCTCTGTAAAGTGAGAATAACAACAGTACCTACCTCAAAGGGTCATTGTGAAGGTCAAATGAAGTATTTAGAATGTACCTAACACTTTGTAAGCATTAAATACAAGGGTTTATTATTTTTATTATCTGTGCCATTGTTATCATTTCTGGCTCTTTTTAAGTAGCTCTGGCTTTCTCCACTCTACTGAATTTGCTCTCTTGATGGTGCTGATCACTTCTCAGGGCCCCAAATCCAGTAACCTTACCTTGGGTTCCACTTTACTTTGGGCCCCAGCAGCATTTGATGTTCAGTTCTCCCCACTCCCCAACACTTGACCCTTCTCTTTTGGGCTTCTGTGCAGCAGCTCTCTCCCATTGTCTTTCTGCCATTCTGACTATTTTTTCTTTTGATGCCTCCTTTCCTCCACTTTATAAATTTAGGTTTATTCAAGAATCATTCCTTGGCTCTTTTTGCTTCTTGGTACTCTCCCTTTAGGAAATCACACCCAGTTTAGACCATCTGACCTTTTAACTGAGGTTCAGTCTGTCACTGAGGCAGAGTGATATTAGTGCCCAGAGCAAGAGAACTGGCAGCTCAGTATCCACGGTGCCCAGGGCCCTTCATCAGGAATTCCACATCTGACCATCAACACCGAGAAGATTCATGGTCTGCTAGAAAATTGTAAATGCTTATCTGTGAGACATTACTTTAGTTGGGGTGGGATGAAATAACAAAAGTGACTTCTGTGATCTTGCCTGCTGGGATTTGAACTTCCCATGGCTACCTAAAACACTAGTGATTTTGGAGACATTTTCTACAAACAAGTACCATAGTCAGGCAGGAAAAAAGAAGCCATCCTAGGTATTTCAAATAGAGGAGATTTAACACAAAGAGTTGGTTCCATGACTGTTAGAAGACAGGGAGAGCAAAAAAGAAACACCAGATAAGCCAGAGATAATAAATTCAGGAAGCAGCCACCATCATTAGGGCTAAGAGGACAAAAGGGAAGAGTCAGAGCCCTGCGTTCAGACCTTGGAAGAACGAGTGCCACCTGGCTGCTGTTGAGACCTCGAGGGAACACAGAGGCCAGGCCTGGCATGTACCAGGAGTCAGGGGCTAAAACCGAGAGCCACTGTGAGAGCCACACTGACAAGAACAGGAAACAGCAGGACTGAAGTCCCTTTCTCCTGTGTGGCGATCCTCTTCTATGCCTGCCGATAGCCACTCATCAAGGGAATCCAAAGTTCTGTCTCAGAACAGAGACTAGAAAATGGTTGGAGCTGTAGCCGTAGGTAAATAATTGCCACATCTGTGTGCTAGGTCTATACCTGGTTAAGTTGCTTATCTTCTCTGTGTGTCAGTTTTCTCATCTTTAAAATGAGAGAAACACCCGTCATTGCTTCATAGGTTTAAGTGAGCTAACACATGGAAAACACTTAGAAGAAGGCTTGGGTTGAGGATGTAGCTCAGTGGCAGAGTGCTTGCCTAGCATGTGTGAAGCCCTGGGTCCAATCTCCAGTACTGGGGTGGGAGGGGGGATACTTGGCACATAGCGTGAGCTCAATAAATTTTACCCATTATTTTTCTGCCAGTATCTATCTCAAATGGTCATTTCGCTTCTCATCCTCAAAACACATACATAATATAGTTGTCTTTGATATTTATTTGATATACTTCATTTCAGTGCTTTACTTTGTGTGTGTGTGTTTATTCTTTTGGAAGACAGACAGACAGATACACACACACACACACACACACACACACGTGCATACAGTCTTTGTCAGATGTGAATCCCAAACCAGGATCCATCACTTGCTGGCTACATTATTAAGCTTCACAGATTGCAGTGTTCCCGGGTATAAAAGCAGGCCAGAATACTCCTGCAGTGTTGTTACAGGAGACGACTCATGTGCACCTGCCAGGTACACATTTGGGATATAGTGAATGTGCTCCATGTTGTCTTCACTCCTTTCTTCTCTTCTGACTAAGCATACAAGGGAAGGGAAGGGGCTGCTTGGAGCCTTGAGCTCTGAGCCCACTGTGACACCCCTGATCATTGCCCAGCTGTGCCCATTCTGTGTGCAGATGGTCTCTCACGGGGCCATCCTGCTTGCTATGACAGGGACAGGAGATGGAGGAGAGAGTCCAAGATTTGGATTCACAAAATTTGAGCTCTAGTCCCAGCTCTGCTTGCCGACCCCTCATTGATCTTTGTTCATTTTTGGTGCTAGCTCCTATTTCTCCATTTCTAGACTGTATACAGGGTCTACAAAATCTGGAAGAATATGTGGTCTAAAACATGTAAGGTGGCTGTAGACCCAACCCTCTCATGATCCTGTTATGGCTCTTGGGTTGCAAGAGGGTGAGGTGACATTGTGACAGAAGGAGAGAAGTCAGGCTGGTGGACAAATGTGGAGTGAAGTCTAGGAGCAAGCACCTCTCAAGGATTCCTGGAGATCCTAGAGGCTTAAGGAGGGGCTCAGGAGTTCTGTTTCTGGCCCATAATTCTAACAGCTTATATGGCTCTGTGTCTCAAGAGCTCAATTTTAAAAGGCCTGAAGTCTATAAAGCAGACTTTGGGGAAGAAACATTCTAATAAGGAAAAAGAAGGCAGAAAAGGGGTTCTGACTTTAGTCCATACTCTGGCATTCCTGCAGGGAATAGGCCTGTTGTAGAGTGGGGGGTGTAGAAGGAAGTACGGCATGGCACCTAAGAGGAGTCTTTAGAGCCAAAGCACCCTGGATTCAAATCCCAACTCATCATTTTCTATTTGTATGACTCTGAGACAAAAACACTTAAATTCCCTACCCTCAGTCTCTTCAACTATAAATTGGGAATACTTCAAAGGGCTATGGTGGAATTTAAATAAAACAGAGATACACAGCACTTTACCAGTGTTTGGGAAATCTCAAGTGCTTAATAAATGATAGCTATTATCATCAGCAGCTTAAAATAATAATAGCAACCACTTATAGAATGCTTAGTGTGCCAGGCACTCTGCTAAGTGCTGCATGGGCTTTATTTCATTGAAATCTTAGACCAGCTCAGTGAGGTAGGTGCTAGGATTATCCCTGGTTGATAGATGAGGTACTGAGGCTTAAAGCAGCTTCCTCAAGGTCATCCAGTTTGTGTGTGTTGGAGCCAGGTCTGTCTAATGCCAAGACTGTACTCTTGCCCACAAAAACACTATGCCTTATATAGCTCTAGGACTTCCACTCTGCCCAGAGGGCTTCTCCAGAGTTCCTCCAAACAGCCCCCGAATTCTCTACTCACCTGTGTAAGGAACCCGCCATGCTTTCTCTGGCAAATCTATTCCTTAAATGCTTAAAGCTTTTCCTCCTTCGAAGTGCACATCAACCCAGGAGAGGGAGAGTAAGTCTCATAAGTAAACCCTTCAGCAAGCCCTGCTTTCTATTAGGCCCAGAAGAGCTCCCGTGGAGACCACAGACCCCCATTCTCCCCCCCACCCTCAGTGCATGGGAATGGAGGAAAGAAGTGTTCCCTTTAGGGGAAAGGGGTGCTCCAAAAGGATCCCAAGGCTTGATCCCTCCCAGTTCCACAGTCTCGCCCCAGCTACAATCCAGAATTGATTGTGGTACTAGGCAGATTCAGAAAATGTCCAAAACATGTTGATCTGAGAAATCCACCAAAGAAAGGTTTCTGTTTTCAGCAAATCCTAACGCAAACTCTTCAGCTCCTCACAGGGCTATATTTAGTTCTGTTTTGATTAACAAATGCATATTGAGACAGACCTGATGGCCAGAATCTGGATTAAGCTATACACCTTAACTCACAGCCTTTTCTACCCAAGGAATGTCCCTCAGCAGCAGAAACTTTGAAACCCACTATCAACTGAGGGCCTACTGTGGACCAGGCAGTGTTCTAAGCACACTTTACTTGGAGGAACTCATTAGTAACTATTCTCATCTCCTTTCCAAGATGAAAGAGGCACAGAGAAGTTAGTTAACTTAAGGTCACACAGGTGACTAAGTGGCAGTCTCCGGACTTAAAAGCAACAATTTTTGAAATTAGCGTACATAGGATTCTTTCCATGATATGCATTTAGGAAATTTCAGTGCCATTCAGAGGGCTAGCTTGGGAGGCAGCATTTTTAATCTATGTCATCATTTCTCTGTGTGGGCACAGTGGTACAGGCATGCTGATTGGTCGTAGAATGCTTCCTTCCTCTGGAAATGGCCATTAGACCCTGTGGAGGAATCAAATAGGAAAGTCATCCTTAATACATTAGAGTCACATCTTATTTTTGATTACATATAGAACTGTCCAGCTTCACAGCTACAGTGTTTTGTGTGTGTGGTTTTTTGGGGAGGGTTTTTTGGGGTTTTTTTTTTTGGTACCGGGGATCGAACTCGGGTCCTTGCGCTTGCACAGCGGGCGGTGAAACCACTGAGCTAAATCCCCGGCCCTTGTGTGTGTGTTTGAACAAACAAAATGAGAGAAACACACAGAAAATAATGCTATCTGTTCAACTTTACTATGAACCTAAAACTGCCCTAAAAAATAAAGTCCATTAAGCAGTTTAAAGCTAAAAACTATAATAGTCAGAAAGGTTATATTTAAAAAAGAACTTCCACCCACAAAATGAAGTTTCACAGTTGAATACATATAAATAAAGGTAAAGAAATACCAAAAAAGGAGTCTAAAACTGTTTTAACAATAGCAAAATAATTGGGATAGATTAGAGTTGCTAAAATCTCTACTATGAAGCATTCTCTTTTGTATACATTATGTTCTTTTATTAAAAATACAAATTGATAATTATACCTACAATTCCACAGGACTTTTCTCCCTGTTAGCACAGACTTGCAGTAATCTGGTGAGGGGGTTTCCTGGCGAGATCCAAACTGTATCACACTCTGTATAGGCCCGATCCCTTTGGCCTTCATTTAAATATAATTAGAGACCAACTCTCTCTCCTCTTCTCTTTCCTATTTTTAAGGTTCTCATAAGGTAAAATACTTCCACAGAGTACCTGGCCTCTACTATAGCTTGGTTTGAATAACTGAAGGCAAGAATTGCTGTATTAAGAAGCTATTATGTGATGGAATAAGATGTGTAAAAACAAGTATCAGAACCTCTGGGGTACAGTGGGCTCTCAAGAACTCTGATAAGGAACCTGGTGAATATAATACCAGTCATAGTGTGGTTCTCCCACCTCTACCTACCAACAGTCAGTTTTAGAGTTCAGCACCATGACCAGGGACACTGTGACCAAGGGGAAAGATTGGCTTGAATTTCTGACTGTTCCTTGTACCTGCCTGCCCGTCACCATCACCCTTTACCTCTTTCTCATTTCCTGCCCCTTGCTTGTGCTTCCCCTGTGCATGAACATTCTCTCTGTTGCTTTCAGACCATATTTTCCTCTTTCTGTGTCTTTTGCTCCCTTGCAATTCCCTTTCTTCCCCCTTTCCTCCCCCAGAGCCACACACACACACTCACACACACACACTCATACACACACACACACACACACACACACACTCAAACAGACAAACATACACCATTCTAATACTCCTTGAAAAATCTCTGCCCCTTCCTCCTGGTGTGCTTTTCTGTGCACTCAAGGCTGGGAACTGCAGTGAATCAATCTGAAGGGCATAGTTTGGGGAAATGCCTAACCTGAATTTCTCCTGAGATGCTCTCTGTGGTCCCAGGAACTATCTTAGTGGCAGCAAAGATGCAGCAGCATCAAGGTAGAATCAAGGGCTGGAGGGGATGGAGAGAGTCAGGAAGATATTTTCCCCGCTACATGAAAGGAAGGCTGGGCATTGGCTCATCTTTGCTTATGGTACTTCCTTTGGCCCTTAAAAATCCAGTTAACTGAATCACAGACTAATTCTCCGAATTGACATTTTACTGGAAAGGCCATTTTAACTGGCTAGGCAATGAAGGTTGTTCACACTTGACTGGTTCTTAAAGAAGGGGAAGTCTCCCCTCTGGTGCCCCCCACCTCAAAACTCTCCCCCAAACAAATGTAGAGGTTACCCACCAGACAGCCACCTCAGGAGCACCCTCCGCCATCCTCCCGCAGTCGGTTCTCCGGGCCTGATCTTGATGCTGTTTCGCAGTTCTCGCCAGTGAGTGCCCGTTGGGGCTGGGACAAAAGTGTGTGTTACCCTCTTTCACCAATTCAGCATCCAGACACCCACCTCCCTGCCACATCTAACCCCCATGCTAGCCCTCCTCGGCATGACACAAGTGGAACTCATTCACATTAAGTAAAATCCCACTCCCCTTCCTGCATTCCTCACCTCAGCCAAAGGCTCTGAGTCATCAGAGACTCCATTCCTTCCTCCTCATCTTGCCCAATTCCAGTCATTAAATCCAGCCAACTCCTACCTCCGCAGAGTCTCTCAAATTAGCCTCCCCAGTCCTATCCCCACTGCCACTTTTTAGATAACCCTCTCATCATTTTCCTCCTGAATTTTTTGGTTGCCTGTGAGATGGTCTCCGTGCATCCCCTTGTTCACTTTCCAGCTCAACGTCCATTTTGCATGGCTAAAGCACAGTTTCATTCTGTTACTACCTGCTTGAAACTCAAAATGTCTCCCAACTGCACACAGGATCAAGTTCAAACTCTCTCTCATGACCTCCCTGAGGCCCCTGCAACCTGCCCCTCCAGCCTCATTGCCCACCACTTGGCCTTGTGATCCTGCCAGAGCAAATGAATGACTTCCAAAGCACAATGTTATTTAACTCCTCTAACTGTTTGCGTGTGATATCACTTCTCCTTGGAATGTGCCTTCCCCCTTGTTCTCCCAGGAAGCATATTCATCCTTTAGGAGTCAGAACAAGTGTGACCTCTTCAGAGAAGCTTTTCTACTTCCCCACCTCCCCCTGGAACCCCACCTTGATGGTTGATTTAAATTCTCATCTTCCCCACCTAGACCATGAGCTCATTTTCTTTTTCTTTTTCTCTGGCACCCAAATAGGGTAGTCAGTATCTGGTCTAGAATTGGTGAAAAATATTTGATCAAAGAATGAACTTGTAATTAGTCACTCTTGGTGACCTGGAACATCTCACAAATCCTTTCTGAGATTTAATTTTTTTTCTGTAAAAATGAGGACAATAATGCCTACCTTGTAGGGTGGTTTTGGTGGACTTTATGAAATAAAATATGTAAGCAACCTAGCCCTGCCTCGTCTACTGTCACAACACAATAAATGTATTTTCCCTGCCTTTTCTCTTCCTTCTTCTCTTTGCCGTAATTAGTCCAGTTCTATTCTAATAAATGTGGGCAAAGGCAGAAAAGAAATCCCAAATACCCTAGGCCAAGGGTACCCTGTTCCCACCTAGCTGGGAACAATCACCTGTTGCTCTTTGAGTAGGAGCAAGTATCCTGGCACCTCACGCTCCTTCACCCAGGTCAGTGTTTAGTGAAGGGTAACTAAGCCTGGCAGCGGGTAGGTGTGAGGACTGGCCACGTATCAGACATCTTTCCAAAGGCTCTTCCTGTAATAGTTCATTCCGTTTCAGAACAAACCCATGGGACTAAACTGTTACTGTCCCCATTTTACAGAGGAGAAAGTGGAGACAAGGGAGATTGAAGTCCTGCGGTTAGGAGGGAGCAGAGCAAGGACTCAATTCAAGAAATAGGACTTCAGAGCCTATGTTGAGCTCCTGCATGGTCCTGCCCAACACTAACTGAAGATACTGTGGTAGCCCCAAATCCGCGAAAGAGCCTTTTTCCAGGTTTCTGGGGCTTGGTGATACATTTTACAGACTCACATATTAGAATTGAGGGAAAATTCCAATCAGCATATTGTTTTGTTTAGAATTTTTCATTGAAAAAAACCTTATCATTAGGAATTGATAAATCTTGTTAAGTAAGTAAAGGTTCTCCAAATTCCCAAGGGTTTTGGACATCAGCATTCAGCCATGGACCATTCACCTCATTTTTATAAAGTTTTATTGGCACACGGCTATACTCAATTATGTATTGTGAATGGCATCTTTTACACTACAGTGGCAGAGCTGAGCAGTTGTGACAGAGGCCTTATAGCCTACAACCCTCAAATATTTACCATCTGGCCCTTATAGAAAAAGTTTGCCAGCTCTTCAGCTGCTACTGTACTTTCAGCCAATGCCCTGTTGTCGGAGCAGGCTTGGAGAATCCCTGAGAGCTCAGATATACGGGCAGAGCCTCCCAAATTGCTCCCTTGCTAGCCAGTGCTGAACACTGATAAAACCCCTGCTTCTGCACCCATAAGGAGGTGCTTCATCTCCTCCATGGAGTTTGTGCAGCCTGCAGTAAGGGGAGGAAGCAGCTGCTGTTCATGCAGTAGCAGCTCTATGGATGATCTTTGAGTTGGATTCTTTCTCCTGGTTTGGGAGGTCTCTGGCAGGATTCACACCACAGGGGCCTAAATGAAGTAGCAGAGCCGTGCAGTCAAGACAAATTTCCTGAGCCCCTGAAGGCTGCTGGAGGCAGCCCACTGATGGATGGCATAAGGAAGGATTTCTCAGTTGCCGTCTAATCTGCGCCTGGGAAATAAATTGCTCTTGTCACTGGTGTCTGCCCTGGCCCTGCAGGCCCCTCTTCCCTGCAGAGCCCTCATGCACCCCTGTGCCATTTCTGCCAGCCTGGGAAAGATGTGAGGAAGGAGAAGATGAAGTCGCATGGTCTGTTTGCTCGCAGCAGCCCTTCCTGCCCCCAGTCCCCTCCGTGAGCCCCACAGCAGGGTCCTACAGTGGCCCAGGGCAGGTCTTAGGATCCTGAGTTTCTAATCTGCAAATGAGAAGGCTTTAAAAGCAATCTCAGAAACTGTTCCAGAGACAGGGCTGAGGGAAGGAAAGGCAAGGGATTCACACAGCCAAAGTCTAGAAGAATTCAGTCTGAACGCTAAGTGCCTCCTTGTGCCCACATCTCTGACCTGGCACTGCACTGCACCTCCACGGACACCACGCTGGAGATCTGGGATCTTATGGGACGTCCCAAAACCTTACCTGGGCAGAGCCTCCTCTAGAAAACTCCTCTTCCCTTGTTAAAGACATCCCTGTCCCCAATATCTCTGCCATCTACTGTGCTTCTCCCCTTCCGCCACCCCCTCCTCTTTATGCCCCTTGGCTTTCCAAGAGGCATCCTCGGCTGGCCACCTTCTAAGAGCTGCTGGGGTCATCCCGTGACACGCTTTGGAAAAGAGAAATGGTGAGTTCGACTCTGGAAGGGACTTCCCTTGGGACCCACGGAGGACTTCCTTACTGGGAGCTAAACCATCACACGATGCTGCATCAATGATCCAGTAGGACAGACATGGATGCTGATGAAGATCTGGGCTTGAAGATTTCTCCCTGAGGATGGAAAGACCTGCCTCGGCTGACCACCAGCTTCCAGTCAACCCAGGGAGGATTGCTGGAGGTGGGGGGTGTTTCCTAGCTACTTGAATGAGAGAGGAGTGCTCACTTGTCAGGGGGCAAGGTCAGAGCAGGGGTCGCCTCCCTGCTGAGCAGACCTGCTCAGGGATTCATCCTGGTTACTGAACTGGATCTGTCATTACGATTTCACAGCTACAGCTCAAGGGTAGATAGGGCTGAGGAGGGAGCTTGGGAGCGTGGGTCATGCATTAGCAGTGTGGAGGGGGCTAAATCCCAAACTGAGGTGGGGTGGGGAAAGCTGAGGAGCTACAGCCATGCTCCAAATTCCTCTCCTGCTCCCAGAGCCCCTCTTCTCCAATGGGCGGGATGGCTCATCCCAGGTAGACCTGTCAGCAGCCCAGTTTTCATTTGCCACCTAACAAGTATTAACCAAGTACCTAGGCCATTAGAACCAGTCAAATAGGCCTGGGGACAAATCCCAGTTTGTATTTTTGGGGTAGCATTGGTTACATTCAGTTGTTGTATGGCCTTTGTTAAAGTACTGTACTTATTCGTTCTGAGCTTCTATTTCCTTTTCTGTTAAATAGAGCTAACAATGGCTATGCCATATGGTTTTTGTGTGGCTTAAATGAAACACTATATATAAGGGGCTGGGGATGTAGCTCAGTGGTTCTGCTGCCTGCCTCGCAAGCCCAAGGTCCTGCGTTTGATCCCCAGTACCAAAAAAAAAGTGAAACAATATATGAAAATTATCTTTTAGAGCACTGGCACTTAGTAGACGCTCAATAAATAACTTTTTTCCTTTGGACATCATACTGCATGCCTGCAATCCCAGCCGCTCAGAAGGCTGAGGTGGGAGGACCTCAAGTTCAACTTAATAAGACCCTGTCTCAAGATAAAAAATAAAAAGAGCTGGGAATGCAGCACAGAAGTAGAGCACTTGCCTAGCGTACGCAACGCCCTGGGTTCCATCCTCAGCACTGCAATCCATCACTCAGTCAATCAGTATTTCCATCCAGTATTTTTTCAGTGCTCATCATTTTCCAGGCACTCTTCTGATAACTACAGTCGATGGTGCCTAATACTATGGGATCGATGTCACCTTTAGCTAAGTCAGAGCAGCCCCAGTGGGAATATCTCCTCAGATTGCCCCTGATTGTCCTTAAGAAGTTTCCCTGGAGAATGCAAAGACCTTGGGGTGGGGAAAGGCTTTCCTCACTTGCCTCTCTGGCCACATCAGCAGGGTGAAGTAGATGGAGCTCCAGGCTCTCATTTCCCCAAATGACACCTCCCCCCGGGGACCACTGTGAGGAATCACATGACTGCACCTGCCACAGGCTTGGTAAATCTCTGCTTGTGTCGTTTCAGCAGGGATCAGCTTTCATAGAAATATGGGGTGTGGTGTTGAGGACCTCTGGCTCTGCCTTTCGGCCAATCGGGGAAATTGAGGCCTTCGGGGGTATAGGTAACGCAAGAATGCATTCCTGACTGGATCCTGGTTCTACATCCTAGGGCTTCCGGAAAGCATTGCCCAGTCAGACACAGTTCCCAGAAGGCAAATATTGCCAAGTAAAATTCCTGGCACTGCTTCGACAACCCACTGGACCCCAGTGGCCTTAGCATCTCTCCAGTGATTTGAGCTGGGCTCAAGATGAGTATAAAACCCCCAAACTTACAGAAATTCGTGGAGTCATCCTATTCATTCCCTCCTTCTCCTTGTCAGTCCCAATCCTTCTCTGGCTCGCTGAGGCAAAGGTGACCCAGAGCATCTCACAAGGCCACTGGTGCAGGGTGTGCATGTGGAGGGCCTTAGGAAAAGAGGACCACCCCATAGGGGTCAGCAACGTGGGTCCTGCCCAGAGTGGCCTCGCAGCCGCAGCATGGAGAGCAGCAGCAGCTTGTCAGGGCTGCGTAGGTCGTGCTAGGGAGTTATGATCTTCTAAAAGCAATGAGAACCAAGAGTCATTTTTAAGTAGGAGACAGACATGATCAAATTTTCTGCTTTTCTGAAAGGTCACTGGCTACTTGTATTGAAAGAATCAGACATGAGTAGGAGGGAGGGAGGGAAACTAGGACAGAGCTATTGCCCTGGTGGTCACAGACGGCTATGACATTTAAACAAAGATCTGAAGGAAGTTAGCCAACAGTTTATTCCAGGAAAAGGTACTAGTGTGGTTGAGGATCAGCGTGTCTGGAGTAGAGCTACCCAAGGGAAGGGAGAAATCAGTGAGGTCAGAGAGGCAAAGGGGAAAAGGACCTTGCAGTGGAGTAACCAACCACCTGTTTGCCTGGAACTGAAGGGCTTCCTAGAGGTAGGACTTGTAGCAGCAGCAGCACCAAACTATCCATCAGGAATAGAAGACAGTGCTTGGGGGTCAGAGTACTTTCAGGACCCATGAAAATGTTTGAGTCTTTTTAAATCAGAAGAAAAAATGAATATAATAATAATGAATCCAGCCAGGATTCTATGTGTCTTTAGACCAATGTCATTGTAAAGTCTAATTTTTAAGGCTTGTTTTTGGAGGGAGGGGAACACAGCAATCACAGTGCAGCCCTAGAAAGGAGAATGGCCAGTCATCCTGCTTTGTGGGCCTTTGAAGGGACTTTGGCTCAGAGTTGATTGGACTCAGCCCCATCTTACAGAGGAGAGAACTAAGATCCTGAAGGGCCCCCAGGAAATGATGAGAGGCTGGCTAGGAAAATGGAGATGGGTCAGATGGACTAAAGAAACATGCTGGTGGTAGAGTTGACAAGGCTTGAGAGTCCATTTAGTGTGTATCTCATGGTGGGGAGTGTTGGAACCGAGGGGCCTGGAGATGTCAGCTCGCGGACATGCGCAGCTTCGTGTCTGCCGTGCCCTTTGCTGAGGTGTGGGAGCCAACAGCCTTGGGCAAATCATGTCATCCTTCTGAGGCTCAGGGCCTCATCTCCAAAATGGGAGGTGCTATCTCAACATTCCTGGAAGAACCAAAAGAGTCTTTTAAATTGCCCAAGTGAAAGCACCTGATGTGTAGTAGGTACTCGTAAATATTAGTAAAGAAATGGAAATCTTGTATTTTCAGGGTTAATAATGCTCTTAGCAAAAGTGTAAGAAGGTGGAGAGTCGGGGCAGGGGCTCTCTAGATAGTCGGGTCACGGAAAGGTGAGTTCATCTGTAGCTGGGAACACTGTTCCCCAAAAAGGTGGCATGGCTAGGGGTGTCCTCAGTACCCCCCAGGAACAGAAGAGCAGGCAGCGAGGGTGCCCTGGCATCCTGGGCCAGGCAGCTATCAGGGGCATGAGATTGGTGAGGAGGCAGCATTGCCACACTCTTCTTCAACAGAGGGTTCCCAGCACTCCCCACCCCACCAGACATGGGTGTTCCCTGTTCCCCACACCACTGCTGGCAAAGGGGCCCCAAGAGCTGAGCCAGGAGGGGAGGGGATAATAGCTCACCCGGGAGATGGTTGTTTCATCCCCTGTCCCCAGCATACAGGTCAGTAAACTGAATCCATGTGCCCGGCAAGCAGATACAGAATAGTGCAGACTCCAGTCTCCTCCCTGGCTGCTTGTGCAACTGTACACGCAGGGCTGTGCCCACAGACTGTCCCCCTCAAGGGGGCTGCAGGGCCCAGGACATATATAAAATGATACGATGATCATAGAAACTATACAGGGCTGCTGTGAGACTTCCCCAAAGCAACGGATGTAGAAAGTGGTTTGTAAACTGTAAGACATTATTCAGATGTTCATTTTCCATTTGAAAATGAGTCGATGAGAAGCCGCTAGTGCACACCCAGGAACTGGATAGAAGAACAGAAAGTTAAAAGGAGCGGCAGTGGCCACAAACCACCCCCAGGGACGGTGGCCAGCACAGAAAGACAGTGTGTCACCGCTGCATGAATAAACATGAGACGTCCTCCATTCCTAACTGCCTTGACTGTGTTCCAGCTAATGAGGTGGACAGGCAGCTGCTGGTCTCCGGGGCAGGAAGGGCCCTCCCCTCTCTTCCTGCCAGGACACAGGATCCTGCAGGGTGTATCCTTTTCTCTCCTCGGCCCCCAGCCCCTTCTTCCTGCTCCCTTGGCACCCAGCAGTGTGCTCACTTGAGACATGAAACCAGCCAGTACTCATAAGCATCAGCAGACACCGGAATCTGGAACTGGCTGGGTGATGTCGCACATTGCCTTTAGCAGGTGGGGCAGGCAGCTCACTTCCTACAGCCGACCCCAGGCTGGGCAGAGGCCCAGTATCCACCATGTACTAGGGACTGAGAGGCTGAGGGAGACATCAGACAGCAAGCCTGGGGCTGGAGGGGACCCTTGGTTGCCAGGCGATCCCCAGATGCCATCTGAGATTCAAGTCTCTCTTACTGCAAACCTACTTTGTGCCCTGCACTGCACTGTGAGCTTTCACTCATAAGTTCCCACATGCTCAAGGTGTCATCGATACCACTTAGAGATAAGATTACAGACCCAAAGAGGGTGAGTGACACAGGGCAAGCTTCCAAGGCTTCTCAGAGCAAGTCCTACATTTCTGTTTCTGAAACTTCTGAAAACATCTTCCCACACCCTAGCCATGCCCTCACAATATCCAATAAAGAAAGCAGGAAGCCCCTGTTCTCCTCCGTCATTCCTCATCCCGGGCAGCTGCAGAGTATGGAAGTGGCTCTTTCAGTTGCCATCAGAGAGAGCTTGTGGGGCAGGTGCCAGAGGAGCCTCCGCCAGGCTGACCACCATCCCTCTCCAGCTGGCTTCTGGCTGGGCTTGGCTAATGGGGAGCCCTGGCAAGATTGGAGGGAGGGAGGAGAATGAGGCTGTGTGTTCACTTGGCTGCTTCCTTCTGGGTCACCTGGGACTGGCTCTGTCTCAAAACTGAAGGCCATCGCTCCTCTTTTGGTCCCTTTCCACGTGATTCTCTTTTTCTAGGTTTTGGTACCACTTCTTCCCCTCACCCTTTATTTAGCCTCTAGTTCAGTGGTGGTGAACCTATGGCATGCATGTTATTTGTAAAACTTCAGTATTTAGGTTTAATTGCACTGCTGAGACTTTGTGAGTGGGTTTGGGGTTGTAGTTTGGGCACTCACCTCTGAAAGGTTCCCCCTCACTGCTCTAGTTGGTAACAGCTGGTGTCTCCCCAGCCTGGTGGGCTGCACTGTCCTCTGTGCTCTCTGCACACCCCACCCACATCTCTGCAGCTGCCCCCCTGTAACCCTCCATTGCCTTGATTGAGGTGCCATTGTCTGGGGGGGTGCAACAGGAAGATATGGGAAAGGTCTAAGGAGAGAGGGATGGTTGTCCCAGACCCATGGAGAAGACAGTGACTCCGGCCCATTACACAAGGAAACATGCCTCAAAGCACCAAAATTCTCAGTTTGAAAGAAGGTCCCAGCAGCCTCTTTGCTGTGAAAGATCTGTCTTCAGCCTTTCCACACCAGCCCACTATGTGGTCATTAACATAAAACACACACTCTGCTGAGGAGGACCAGCAAAATGTAACCAGAGTGTGAAAAGTAATTACAGCCTGGTGATTAGAGTCACCTCTGGGTTTCACTTGCTGAAACAGGCCTCCCTGACCCTCAAAGCGGGGTAAGATTAGTTTGGATAGTAGGCACCAGGAACTGTAATACTCAGGAAGGAGCCGGGCAGGCCTGCCCCCGATGCAGGGAGTGGATTGGGCTGGGGAGGCCTGGAGAGTGACCAACTTGGCATCCTGGGCTGCTACAGAATTGAGGAGTAGCCCAGGCTTGGAGCTGGGCGGAGGAGGGTCTCCTATTCTGGGGTTTCAGTCCAGGTTTGACCTTACACAACTTCCCAGTAGAACTAGATCTAGGCTTGACACAGTAGCTCCCAGGGGTGCTGACAGCAGTCACTGGGCCGGGATGGAGATAGGGCACAGTGGGGTGAGCACATGGGCTACAGGACTAAACACACCACAGAACTACAGGCTTCTGACTGCCCACAGAACCCAGCGAGGCCTGCAGAGAGACCCAAGAAATGTTGTTGGATCCCCCAGGTGCTTCACTAATGGCACAGATCAGGCACTCATTTCATCCCATTTCAAACAGGAGGCCACATCAGGAGGCCAAAGCTCCAGCTCCAGCTCAGCCTTAAACCTACCGGGAAATGCAGGAAGTACTTCTGTAACTCAGTCCTAACCTTCACCTCTCAAGGGGAAGGGACACCTACTCTGAGATGAATGATGGTACTTGCAAGTATGGAAGAATTTCTAATAACACAACTAAGAGCAGGGATATCTTTGTCACAAGGAGGGCATCTGTATTTTCACCCTTTGTGCCCACTCCCCAGAACACCAGCCCCTGCCCAGTGGCACAAGCCGCCGTCTCACTTGGCTCCTCCTCCTCCTCATACCCTCGGACCCATCTACTGGACAGCCACCACGCTGCCTATACATCATGCTTCTCCTGCCTTCACTGGGCCGCGAAGCTCACCAGTGTCTCTATCTAAGCACCCCACCCACAGCAGAGGCAGAGATATCATGGGATCTCCCTGGTGCCTCCATCTTCTTGGAATGTCCTGAAAATACATCCCCAGCTAATGCTCCAGATTTAATAAATAAAAAGACAGGATAGTAGATTTTTCTTTAGTATAAGTAAGTCCCAAATATTGCATGGAACATAATTACATTAAAAGTGTATTTGTATCTATCTGAAACTCAAATTTATCTGGGTGTCTTATACTTCATCTGGTGTCCCCAACCCCAGACTCCTAAATAGTCAGCTGCCTTGTGCCCGCCTTGGCAAGTAGCCATGCTATGAGCATCCTCTGTGGGCTACAGTCCAGCCTATATGAATTTCACGATTCTCAGGCTCCAGCAGTTCTGTACCTCTTTAGACTCAAAGAACTGTTGAACAACAATCCATTCAGCAGATATTTAGTGAACATCTGTCTTACTCTAGTCACTGTCCTGAGCACAGGAGCTCTAGTGGTGA